AGTATTTTTAGTGGATGTATGATGATTGATGCAGCTTGGTATATTGTACAGCAGTCTGCTTGTAGTTTATGGTTGTTGCTGTAGGTGTTATCAGTAAAAGTGTTATCACTCTACTGTGGCCAGGCCACATACAAACTGAAAGTAGGAACAGGGTGGCGTCATTAGGGCGCGCAGTTCACCCATTTGTAACCATGGTTTTACATGTGTTGCATTGCATGAAATGCAAGAACCAACTGTGTTTTGCTGTCAGTTAGCCTACCTTTGTGTGTGTGAGAAACCAAAATCTTAGCAGTTATTCAAACTTCTCAAATATCATTTATGATCAGGTATTTACAAACTTGCCTCAACTTGCCTTAAACTGAAGCGTGAATGCGATTTGTTGGGAAGATAAGCTTTTTAGTAAAACAAAAATATTGTATGGCTTCAGAAAACCGGTCTTTATAAATGTCTTTATAGACTACTTCAATTGTGTGTTTTTTTTTGTTTTTTTTTTTGGAGCTTGGCAGTGCAAATAATAACCATCCAATTTTGTTGTTTGGAAAAGAACAACATAAATTTGGGTTGAAACACTATGAGGCTGAGAAATGAATTTCTTTAGGGTGAACTATTCTTTAAAAGGGACATGTCATTAAAATCTGGCTTCCCCATGTTTCAGAGCTATAATAGGGTGCATCTAGCAACTCAGAAAACGTGAAAAGTGCCAGCCCAGTAACTTTGTTTTGGTGAGCCTCTCTCTGAAAGCATGTCAAAAAATAAGCCGATCTGATTTCATTCACCTTCTGACGTAGGAAGAGGATCTTATTATAATATTACCTATACATAATTTGCACTTTTCAGTCACAGCGCCACCATTTGGTTTTCACAAGCGACAACAGTTTAACCAGTTCTAAAGCAATGGTAAAAGTTTGAGCAAAACATGCAAAGTCAATGAGATAACAACAACAACTAGCCTACATAAAAGTATCCACTAACCATTCAGAAACTTCCATGTGCATCTAAAAAGCTGCAACCTCTTCCTGAGGCCATGTCCACACTAATACGTTTTCGTTTGAAAACGTATATTTTTCTCTCCGTTTTGGCCTTCCGTCCACACTGAGACGCCGTTTTAAGTCAACAAAAACGTATCGTTTGGAAAACGCTCTCCAAAGTGGATAAATTTGAAAACGCCGTTTTCGCGTTGTAGTGTGGACAGTGAAACCGCAGGTATTTCAAAACAATGACGTAAGTTTAGTCATGTGATCCATGTAGTACCAATAGATATTCATGTTTGTTGGTATTGTGCCTGTTATGTGTTATTCATCTTTACACTATTGCTAAAATATGTTACTTTCTATGTTACTTAATATGTGCTATTCTTCATAACACAGTACTGCAAAGATAACAGATAATGTAGTCTACTCACATTTGCTGTCCTGCGGCAAAACAGGAGAGCAGTTGCGTTTTAGACCAAACATACAGTATGGTGACTGAATGCGACCTGGACACATCAGTGATGGTGAGATATTTTGCTAAATAAAATTATCCTGTTATTGTGCGATGACATTATTATTTATTTTCCAATCTGTATCATCTCAGTGAGCTTTTGTGAAGTTTCCCGCATGCGCAGTAAAGTGAATTTAGAAGTTTCTCATCCACACTGAAACGTCGGAAAACACCTGTAGTGTGGACGGAGAGCGTTTTTAAACGAAAACCCCGTTTTCAAACGTATCCGGATTAATGTGGACGTAGCCTGAGTCTCTCCATAAGGCTGCACTTCGCTATGGGTTATTTCTGAGATTTTGGATGAGTGAGATTATTTGCCTGTTTTGTTATTGCATCCAAAGCTCATGTAAAGTATCGTCCCTCTTCTGAAAGGGGGCGGGGAGCAGCAGGTCATTTGCCTTTAAAAGGACACACACAAAACTGCATGTTTTTGTTTTACACCCCAAAAAGGGCAAATTTGACAAGCTATAATAAATGATCTGGGCAGGGGATATTTAGAGCTAGGATTTCACTGACACATTCTGGGGACACCATAGATTTATATTACATCTTGTGAAAAGAGGATTAATATGTCAGATTTAAAGACTAAGGTAACAACAAATGGGTCTGGAAATCAACTAGGCCAATATGAGGGCACAGCAGATGAAAGAATAAATTACTGGACAGATATAATGTGATGCAATGAGAAATGTGATAATGTGAAATAATGAGAAAAGTTAACTCACAAGTATTGAGCACAAGATCCCCGATGCGAAACATATGACGAACCACTTAAACCGTGTGGTGAAACTGAGCGTTGTGCTGTCCAGGATCTAAAGAGAAGAATCACAGGATGTCACATGGTTCATAATGCCCCACCAACAAAGACCATAAGATTATGCTTTTAGCATGCTGACTGCATCTGATTCATTAAAATACCACTGACCCACAGGAAGAACAAGACAGGAATAAAACATGCTATTGTTCTTGCTTTTCCATATTAAATGGACACATGCATGTATCAAACTGATTATTAACAGGATTTACATAACTGAATAATTACAAAGAACACATTCCCGTGTTTACTGTTACATGATGTTTTCATAGTATGAAGTTTCATCAATGAAAATAAATATGATTAGTCATGATATGAACTCTTTTTAAGACACTAGTACTGTAAAACATACCTAGTGAAATTTGAAAGGATAAAACAACTAACTTATAGAGAGGGCCAGGAACTGTTTATAACCCAGTGTCAGATATTTAAGATTGGCTTGCAAGAATAAAACAACATCCGGAGGTCATGACCTTACCTCACATGATCCTTTCCATCAGGAAGCATGTAAAACCAGCAGTGTTAAAAAATATCATTATCACATAACGTTAAACATTTGAAAACAAATGCGTGCAGCAGTAATGTAAAAAAGAGCAACATTACAACGTAACGTTAATCACTTTATGTAGATAAATGCGGCCGGCTAACAAATATGTAGCCTACTATGGTATTAATATGATGTGTTCTATAGCATGGTGATATCATGTTGTTGTTGTTGTTTTTAACTCTGTAATGATGGTTAACGTTATACTACCATAGTATTCTTTGAATGACACAAGAGTATCATGTTATATTGATATGGTAACGTAATCATTCACGTCCATGGTATTACCATCTAGCATCATAGTACTTTCGTAAGAACTAAAATGAAGTTAAAAATACTAACGCTGTCAAGTTACAGTAAGTTACTAGACAAACTCAGTGGGGCCTCTCCATTACAGACGCAGAAAAACTACAAATAAACACAAGTTTAACGTCTCTTAATACCTGAGTTGTAAGTCCCACTTCTTCATTCTCCTCTTGACCACTTAATACACGACGCAACTTGTCCATCGTTGCTCGTCAGGTGAAAAATCGTTTAGTTGAAATTATCCAACACTTCCTCGAAGTTCAGCATTGACACAGACGTTACTTTTCCCCACCCGTATTCCGTGAGCTCCGCCCTTCATCGCACTTCTGACTGATATGGTTGGACGTACTGTAATGAGTGACTTCTAAACTACCCAATCGTAGACCGATTTGGAAGATCAATAGCCAATCCTGATACAGAAGGCGGGCATTGAAAAAATGTAGGTGGAAAGTGGACGCGCAGCCGCAGGCGCAGATTTTATGATCTGTCTATCAAGACAAGACGTGCACGCGCAGTGGTCTCAAACTCAAGGGTTTAGTCCCAACCTGAACCAACTTACCTGCTTGGAAGTTTCTAGTAACCCTGAAGACCTTGACTAGCTGGATTATGTGTTTAATTAGGGTTGAAGGGAGGGAGCTAAACCAAAGAACCAAAAACTTTGGCTAAACTCTGCACTGACCCTCCTGGCACTGAGTGTGAAACCGTTGTAGGCTAAACATTTTAAAATCGATTACAAACAGTTACTCAATTTAATTGCTTTCAATTTTGTACCGTTTTTTTTTTTTATCCCAGTCGTCAGGATGGAAGTAGGTAGCCTATACATATGGTGTCTTTCTTTTTGTATTCCTTCACTATAAAAAGCTCACGACACATTTGTAAGGGAATCTCTGGGAATCAGATAATTTTCAAATGGACACAAGAAAACATCCCTTTCACGACCATGAATATGCAGAACGACTGGTCAGTTGCACAGACTAGTCCACATAAATTTCAAGAAATAGTCCACATTTACAGTAAGGCATGCCTATATATCACACAATCAAATTTACACCAGTTTGATCACATTTTTATGTTTTTTTTTGTTGTTTTTTTGTTTTTTGCTTATTATTATTATTTTATTTTTGGGTTGGCAAACCAACACAGAGCATGAAAGTAACTATTTCTTTAGCAAGGACAGATCCTATCACTGTCCTGATGATCAGCAAGTGTAGTTTAGTTTAGCTATAGTTTTTGTCTGGGTTTTGTAAAAAAAATAAAAAAATAAAACGACCACATCAGAAACCTAAAGCTTCACATTTCACATGTAGAAAGTAAGCTACATCAGCAAAACAATTAGTTTCACCCAAAAATGTAGCCTAAAATTCAGTCATCATTTACTCACCCACCACATCCACATGTTGCTCCAAGTTTGCGTTGCCCAAAGCATTAGCCAAATTATTGTCACAAGTTCCGTATATCAACATTTTAACGAGGCGGTGTTTCCCAAAACTGTAGTCCCAACGAACAATCGTAAAGAGCATCGCAAAATGTCGTTGGAAGGACAAGTCTCGACCTGTAATACAGTTTCATGTTGCATGACATGTGGGCTCAATAATCCTTATCTTGAGCCAAAATAAGCAAGCTGACATTCAGTAATCTGTAGACTATCTTTTATTTACAATTCATAATGTAATTTACATATTTTAGTTTGTCAGAGTTTGCGTCGTTTTTGAAGCGTGAGCATGTGTGTTACCTAGGTGTTTTAGTAAGATGTAAGTACGAGTCTACTGGAAATAAAGCAAAATAACTGAGAAAAATGCAGAAATATAGTCCTCAGATGCCATGTCCGTATTTTATAGCAAAACATAACATCAATTCGATTCCATACAAATTTATTTAAAGAAGTTATACCATCAACTGTCCGTAGCCTATCAACATTCTTCGAAGTCTTTTGTTGTTCAACTCATAGTTTGGAACAACTTGAGGGTGAGTAAATGATGACAACATTTTCGTTATTAGGTGAACTATCCCTTCATTTCGGAAAAGGTATTGATCATATTCATTCAAAAATACAGGACTGGTCTTCTAGAGAGTCATTTTTTATCATACAAAATCAAGGTTATTTTTATCTGTACTGATTACATTAAACTTTCAGAGGCTTCTACAAATTGTGTATGGCATGCAAATAAAATTTTAGATTATTAATTAAGCAGAGTGCTACGTGTGGAGAGCACATACATGGTTATTAACTAATACATAGAAAGGGTTACACTTTATTTCGATGGTCTAAATTAGACATTCTACTATAGGTAGTAATTTTGCAAATAGCGACATATCAGCTAACTCTCAGAGACTGTTCGGTGTTAGTGTTTGGGTTAAGTTGACATGTTGCAAATATTCTGTTGAAGAGCATCAAAATAAATTGTGTTAGCAGATATTAAGAATTCTCCAATTACTGGTAGTTGACAGTTGCAAAGTTACTTATAGTTAGTTGACTGTCCATTGAAATAAAGTGTTACTGCAAGTTATGACTTCTGATGGAAGAATGATATAACATTTGTTAAGGTCGTCTCACACATCATCTAACAGAAGATTATAATGGATAAATGTTAGTGTAATAGATGATGACCTCAGTACATAAAGCATGTCGGCTTTTCAAGATCACTGATCCAAATCATCTAGTTCAAACTATATTTTTTCACATTTTTTTTTTCTATGAAAGTTAAAATACATGCACATGTTTATTTTCTAAACTTTATTTCTTTATCATTGTTGACTCAAACTAGTGCAAATGTGTGGCACTTGTTTAGGTTCCGTGCTTATGCATAAAGGTCACTTAAAAATAATTAGATAAACCATCTTATCTTCAATAAACACATAAATAAATTAACAGAAATGAAGATAAACGTGCATATCAACAAATGGATTTATAAATAATTAAATAAATAAGCAAATAAATAAAGAAATAAACCAATTTGGTCCAAAAATGCATGTTGAAAAAAATATAAACAGGTGTTTTTGTAAAACGTTTCAGCATTACATAAGACCAATCAACTAGTAAAACAATTAGTGACATAAAATATGTTCTTTGTGCTTTCATTAGCATGTTAGAACCATTTGTTTGTCATAAAAATACATACTGTACGTGGCATGCATGTTCAAAAGATGCTAATAATGCTGGCACATTAAAGGCGCAGCACTGTCGCCATAAAAGAACAAAGAATCTTCTACTAACTTCTACATGGCTCTAATTAAAGTGTCTGCAGCAAGAAGTAGCAACTTTTATGAATGACTGGATTTCCGGCTGACCGCACCTTTGGGAGAGATAACTGTGATCTTTGCTATAAAACAAAACACTCCATGATGCTACACTCCAGTGTTACCCAGGGGTGGCACACACACACATACACACACACACACAAACAGCGCAGCGCTCTGAAAGATCAGTTTTTGAGCACTGACAGCTGTGATGTTTGCATCTGGCCCTCATCAATCTCGACATCAGCGGAGTCACTTGGCAGATCATTTGTCTCTCTTTGGAGATCGCTGTGACACTCTGTGATCAATCCAATTTTCCCACACTGCTCCGGATGCTCGTCTGGTACCTTGTCCAAAAGCCTGGGCGCTCTGACATTTCTTAAAGCTGTAGACGCTCCTGTGTCTGGCTGAAGTGCTATAGACGAGTGGATGTTAGTCTTTTCATGCCTCTTCTCTGGGCCAAACTGGAAGAGAGCACTGGTTCCAGTTTTGGGGCTTGAGGGGATCGATTCAGAGCGGAGTATGTGGCAGCCATCGCCCCCTACAAAATGGTGTCATAGAGTGAATTAATATATCATGAATTATACAGTCAAAACATTAGATGAAACCCAAATGGTGCCAAGTTGTATCTGTGACAATTCAAAGTGACATTTAAAATTTTGTATGCAAAAATATTTAAAGGGATACTCCACCACCCAACAAATGAAAATTCTGTCATCATTTACTCACCCTCAAGTTGTTGCAAACCTGTATGAGTTTCTTTCTTCTGCTGAACACAAAGAAAATTATCTTGAAGAACGATCAGAACTTTGGCACCATTGACTTCCATAGTATTTTTCTACAATGGAAGTCAATGGTGCCAAACAACTGTTTGGTTCCAATCGTTCTTCAAAATATATTACTTTGTGAAAGAACAGAGAAATAAACTCATACAGGTTTGCAACAACTTGTGGGTGAGTAAATAATGACAGAATTATCATTTTTGGGTGGAGTATCCCTTTAAGGCACATTCACACAAAGGATGATAGCTATAATGATAACGGTCAAATATGTTTTAGTGGCAAATCCTCACAATTCATTTTTAAGCTATAGTGGGAGAGTTGAATTAACGTGTAAACATAATAATGTTCTTATGTTATTACACACATTTTTGTCATTTATTCCATATGAAGTGTAAATAAGTTTCATATGTAAGAAATCTGTTTAATAGTAGATGCATTATGTAAATGAAAAGAAGAGACGGAAAGTTTTTAAGGGCTGCTCGCTTCCGATTGGAATTCGCTCAATATCTCAACAATACTATTAAGCAGCAAATCAGCATTAGAATGATTTCTGAATGATCATGTGACACTGAATACTGGAATAATGATGCTGAATATTCTGCTTTGTTATCACATAAATAAATTACATTTAAAAACTAATTACTTCATGTGATATCCTCTATTTCTGTATTTCTTTAAAAAAAATGTTTTTTCACAATATACGGAAGCGCATTGCATTCACTTGAAGAAAAAAATCGACTCTGTTTTTCTGAATTAACGAGTTAATTATCTCAGAATTGCGAGAGAATTTTTCATGGAAAAAGTTTTTGCTCTGTTTTTCTGAATTTCTGAGGTAATTATCTTAGAATTACGAGATAATTTTTCATGGAAAAAAGTTTTTGCTCTGTTTTTCTGAATTAATGACTTTATTATCTCAAAGATTATGAGTAACTCATTAACTCATAAGAACAAAATGAAAAAAAAATATTTTTCAAGAAAAATATCTCATAATTCTGAGATAATTAACTCATTAATTCAGAAAAACAGAGCAAAACCTTGTTTTTTCATCAAAAATGATCCCGTAATTCTGCGATAATTAATTTGTTAATTCAGAAAAACAGAGCAAAAACTTTTTCCTATGAAAAATTTGCTCATAATTCTGAGATAATTAACTTCAGCCTACACCAACAATACTGAGTGTAAAATGTGACATTTCACTCTATTAACATGGGCAGATTTAGTTATAAAGTGGCTATTATTTGGGCAAGCCCATTTTTACCCACCTGCCTGTGTTATACTACCCCACCCCCACCATGCTTCTGTTTTGTTTTTTAATTGAAAGAAATTAAGAGTTATTGTAATTTATTTGGTCAAATTGCAATAATAATGTGCTTATGTGCAGTGTGTCATCCCCTCAAGTATAAGTAGGCCACATACACTGTAAATATAATCACAGTCTCTTTAACTAGGACTTTTTTTTTCATTTTCATTTGGTTTTGTTGTATTTTGGAAATTCAGAAAAACAGAGTATATTTTGTTTCCTCAAGTGAATGCAATAAGCTTCCGTAACAATATCATTTATCTGTAGTATATAGGTATGACTCCAGAGGATTATAATGATCACCAGAATATTTTATTTCCATTCCCATTTCAAGTCAAAAGAACTATTAATTATAAGTGTGTTTGTTTTCAGTGGAACAGGTGCAGTTTCACAGGAAAACATGAGGTGTCAGTATCGCTCTTTGACAGTGGAGACTGGATCTGGCAGCGGATGAAACACAGCACAGATGGGATGATAGTCACAGGAATTTTACCTTCACTAGTTGCACGTCCTGTCTGATCAGCTGGCTCTGAGATAACTCATCACGGTTCACTATCCAGGGATGTCTGAGAACAAGAGGTGCCGTCAGCCGCTGATGAGGATCCACGTGTAGCATTTTAGTGACAATGTCCTGTTCAAAGATGACAAAAAAAAAAAAGCTTTACATTTTTGTTTTTGTTTTCTGAGGCTGAAATCATTCCGATCCTATATGAAGATGAATTATAGAATAAAATGCTGATAGTAAAGATGGAATTTGCACATTAATTGGGCTGGGCAGTATATCAAATACAATTATATATTCACTATTATAGCAATATAAAATTAAGCAATATTGCAATGATGTTAACATGCTTTTACTTAGTCATTAAGTTTCCCAAAGAGCGTTTCATCAAACTAGTTTACCAATCGCCACACTTATAGTTTACATTTACCATCTCAATATGGTAACACTTTAAAATAAAGTTTCATAGTTAACATTGTATTAACTAACATGAACTAACAATGAACAAAATATGACTGACAATACTGATTGTTTCAAAGCAAGACTTTAATCTCTGTTAAATACAGTCGTTCATTGTTTGTTCATCTTTGTTCACAGTGCATTGAATAATGTTAATAAATACAGCTTTTGATTTTAATAACGTAAGTAAATGTTGAAATTAACATTAATTTAGATTAATAAAGGCTTTATAAGTATTGTTCATTCTTAATTTCTTAACTAAATTAGTTAACTAATGCTAACTAATGAAATTTTATTGTATTGAGTTGATTGGTTTAGTTCATTTCTGTAAATCAATTAAAATCAAATTCAATATAGCAATAAACAATTGTTTGTTTGGGTCATTGCTCAAAAGTTTATCATGGGCATCCTGTATGGTTTTTGTTGAATTTCCAATGCCTAAATAATCGTGAATAGTAATAATGATTTGAAAAGTTTTGAATACTATTTGATCAAAAATACAGTTAATAGCGTTAATTTATTACAGTTTAGTAAAATCAGCAATATTGTGAAATATTATTAATAACCGTTTTATGTTTTAATACATTGTAAAATGTAATTTATTCCTGTTATCAAATCGAAATGTTCAGCATCATTATTCCATTCTTCAGAGTCAAATGATTCTTTAGAAAACATTTTAATCGTAATATTCTGATTTGCTGCTCAATGATTATCAATTACATTTGATACTTAATAATGTTTCTTTGGTACTTAATAATATTTTTGTGGAAAGTTTTTTTCTTTTAAAGATTCTTTGATTAATATATAAAAATTCAAATCTTTTGTAACATTATTTTCCACTCACTTTTGATAAATTTAATGAGTCCTTGTTGAATAAGAGTGTTCATTTATTTTTATTTTTAATTTTACCTTAATTTTTTAAACGGTAGTGCATCATGGTTTATACAGAAATATTAAGCAGCAAAAACTGATTTCAACATTGATAACAAGAAGAAATGTTTCTAGAGCATCAAATCAGCATATTAGAATGATTTCTGAAGGATCATGTGACTCTGAATATATATAAACAGGAATAAATTACATTTGGAAATATATTCAAATAGAAAACAAGTTATTTTAAATAGTAATTTTTCACAATATGTTCTTTTTTTCTTTTAACATTACAAAAATCTGGTAACACTTTACAATAAGGTTCATTAGTTAACATTAGTTAACTACATTAGTTAACATGTACAATATGTGAAAAATACTTCTTCAGCATTTATTAATCTTATTTAATATTAATTCCAACATTTACTAATACGTTATTAAAATCAAAGGTTGTATTAGTTAACATTAGTTAATGGACTGTGAACTAACATGAACACACAATGAACAGCTGTATTTATATTAACTAACATTAACAAAGATTAATAAACACTGTAACTAATGCATTGCTCATCGTTAGTTCATGTTAGTTAATGCATTTACTAATGTTAACTAATGAACCTTATTGTAAAGTGTTACCAAAAATCTTAATTAAAGTAGTGTAAGTAAAATTTAAAAAAAATCTAAAAATGATTGCAAGTGTTACTTACATTTATTTAGTGAAAAAACGTGTGAAATACATGCCTCGATTATTTTTGACTGGATTTTACTTCTTTTGTTAAACAACAAAAATAATGTTGTTAACAAACGTACTGAATATAGTCAAAAGGCTGAATAATATGGAGATGCTCATTTTGGGTTATGGGATTTATACAAATATTTATACATAGGGGTGGTGAATGCGGAGTGGATAAGGCACATGCCTTTGGTGTGAGAGACCCGGGTTCAAATCCACTGCAAAACACCAATGTGTCCCTGAGCAAGACACTTAACCCCTAGTTGTTTCAGAGGCATGCGATCTCTGACATATATAGCAATTGTAAGTCACTTTGGATAAAAGCGTCATCTAAATGAAGAAATGTAAATGTAAAATGTATATTGCAAAATGTAAATGTACAACATGTAGAAATAAGCAAGCTGACCTTGGCTGCGTCAGACACTGTGTCCCAGTTGCCTCCTGAGAGGGCAAACTTCCCACTGCCAATGCGAGCCAAGATCTCCTCTGGTGTGTCGTCAGGGCCGTTAGCGAAGGGCGTGAAACTGTGGGACAGAATGAGTGCTGCTGAGTGTGTGAAACAACTTGCGAATGTGCCCTTTCAGAGAAAGGGTGAGAAGAGAAAGAATAAATCTAATAGCCCCATTTCCAGAGTTATTTTTAGTGCACACATATGGAAAAGCAAGATTTTTTTTTTTCAAATGTTCTGATTACACAGAGGTTTAAAAGCTCAATCCATAGTCAGGAACATTAAATTGAGAGTGCTTCTTGGCTTCTGATAGCTCTAGCATTGTGTTCAGTACAATTACTCTGTGACTCGACCCAGCTTACCTAGTAATCCTCTCATCCGGGCAATGGGGAAAGGATGCTCTACATAGGGTTTTGAGTTGTTTGTGTTGATAAATCACTCATAATTTTGTAGAAAATTAAGACTGTGCTCTTAGGTCATGTGGGTAGATCATTTTTATTGAAATCATTCTGATGGTTAAAGGTTATCTTAAATAAAGCATCCCTATATTAATACTGTCAGTTCATTGAGAGCAACAAAGAGAAACTGTTTATATTTTGATTATTATTATTCGACCATTAATTTAGATTAATCAGGTATAATGGACTTATGTGAGGATGGCGAGGGTTTATTTTTTTATTATTATTATTTTAATTTTACTAGGAGTGGTTTTCTTTCTACTACTTTTGAAAGTGACCTATATTACAGTAGTGTAACCGGTTTGGGCACAGCTATCTTTATTACTATTTTTCCACATATCAGAATAACAAGAAAGGTCACAAAAAAGTCACAAGGGAATTGTGTAATGACCACAAAAACAAATCAAATATTTCATCATCGAGCTTCTGCAATCTTTTTCTAGATTCCAGCTCTGCTGGGGCAGATGAGGTGCATTTTGGGATGCTTTTATAACACTATTGAAGATTCACATGTATGCCAAACAATGACTCCTTCTCCTTCATTATCTCATCTTTATTAAAACTACCATATAGTTTATTTCAAAGCATATGTAGATACAATTTATATTTGCCTACAAAGCTAATTAGACCTGAAGGTTTTCATATCATAAGACACAAAAATGCAGTCAAATGTTTACACACTTTTGCCTTGTAGTGATTATTAAGTATTTTGGAATTGATTATTAAAACTTTGGAATGTTTTTGAAACAAGTTTTGGCAACACTTACTTACTTGAAGGGGTGTGCATACACTTTACTTGAAGGGGTGTGACATGCCACCTTTATAATCATCACATGTCATGAATATGAAGGAGGTTTTGTGCATGTTTATGACAACTGCCATTAAGTGTCATTTGCTCAATTATGACATTTTTAATGCCAATATGATATAGTTTGAGATGTCTTTGTTATGACATCTTGACATAAACCAATACATCGTAACTTGTCAGTGTATTTGTCATGACAACTTGACATTACTAGGACAACATAATATGTCATAAACATGACATAGCAGATGAATTAGAGAACTCCAGCGCAAAATGAACCTTTGGTCTAAATAACACATTGGTACCTAGTCAACCGTTCTCTGAGATTTGTTTTCATGATATTCGAATGTAAAGAGTTTTATCTCTAAAAATTGTATATGGGCGCAAATAATGAGTAAAAAGAAATCACTAGTTAAAGGAGCTGTATGCAAGATTGTGGCCAAAACTGGTACTGCAATCACTTTCAAATTAGGGTTGCCAACTGACTCAAGGTTGCCAGATATGGTGCAGTAATGTCGGCTGCTACAAGAAGCTTCCAATGGCAAGTGACGAGTCCTACACAGTGAGTTTTTTTCTGTTAATTATTTATTTCGGACTTTGTAACAAAGTATTTCGGATTCATATCGAGTTTTTTGGGGGGTTTCGCAACGTTAGAATTTTTTTATCTGATTTCGACACGTTTGTATCTGCAGCTGTGGTAACTGGAGAAGAGCTGGCAACCCGAATGCCGCAACACTACTGAGTCTGTGATTAGTAGAACGGTGGAGGGTGACGCATCAGAACAAAACACAACTTGACAACATCAACATCAGTCAAGAGCTGCGACTTCACTTTTTAAATGACAATATCCTAGCTGGAATACTGTTTTCAGTGATATAAGTATTTGAAATAAACATGATTTCTTAATGTCTAGAGACATATCAGGGCAAATGTATGATTAATTGAAATAATTTATTGCATACAGCTCCTTTAATAACACTAACAAGGCTCAAAATAGCCCCACACTAACACAGTAATGAGGGTCCCTACATGGAAACCGAAGCATTGAGAACTTTGTAAGGGTATACAGACCATTTATTAAGAAGATATTTAATAAAGACAGTCCACTTCGTGTATATAGGCAGGAGCCATCTTTGGAAAACAGTCTCGACAAGTCGAACCACGAACCACTGTACACTTACAAAGTTCTCAATGCTTGCTTTTGCATGTAGGGACCCTCATTATGTTACTGTGCTAGTGTGGGTCTATTTTGAGCCTTGTTAGTGATAATAACTAGCGATTTATTTTTACTTATTATATGCCCCCATATACTAGCGCTATATGCTAAAGAGTTTTTAGAGATAAAACTATTTACATTCGATTATCATGAAAACAAATCTCAGAGAACGGTCGACTAGGTACCAATGTGTTATTAGACCAAAGGTTCATTTTGCGCCGGAATTCTCCTTTAAGAAACCACTTAGCTTTATGGGTTAACATTGCATTAAACTGTCATGCGGTTGGTTTTGACATTGGCTGTCATGAGGCCATTATAACTGTCTTGAATATTTTTCTACTACAGTGGTACAAACTGAACTTGTAATTAAAAGGTTATAATGGCCTCATGACAGCTAATGTCAAAACCAACCACAGGTTTTGACAGTTTAATGTAATGTTAACCCATAAAGCTAAATGGTTTCTTAAGTTTGATAATTAATCTGCTATGTCATGTTCATGACATATTTAAGACAGGTTGTGTTGTCTTAGTAATGTGAAGTTGTCATGACAAAGACACTGACAGGTTATGATGTATTGGTTTAAGTCAAGTGGTCATTACCAAGACATCTCAAAATATGTCATATTTACATTAAAATGAGAATGACAGTTGTCATAAACATGCATGAAACCTCCTTCATATTCATGACATGTGTCATGATTATGGTGTCATGTCAGTCTTATGCACACCCCTTCAAGTAAGTTAAGCTCACCAAAGCTGCATTTATTTGAACAAAAATATTGTCTATATATATTAAAATTAAAAAGATTTTTTGTAACAATTTAAAAGTCTTTACTGTCACTTTTGATTTCACAATTCATTTGAATATATATATTTAAATAATAATAAAAAAGATCTTACTGACGGCAAACTTTTGAACTTAAGTTTGTAATATATAAGATATATCCAGTGAAGACTCAACTTACCCTGCCAGCATAGTGTAAAGTAAGATTCCCAGACTCCAGATATCACAGGCGGCATCATATCCCTGTTTCTTCAGGACCTGTATGAATCACAGGTTTGTTGTTATCTCAAAATTTCATAAACAGATCATAAAAAAACACGTCTTTCAAACATTTCAGCATATTTTCAATGTTTAAACAATAGACAATTGTTATTTTAATCCTGACCCCTAATAATCACAGATTTTATTTGTTCTTGTTGTTGTTTTTATTAAATTAATGTACTATAATAGTTTGCTATTTTAGTTTTATTTTAGGGGATTTATGGTACTAAATTATACAAATGCAGTAGTTATAATCTATATCTTTTTGAACTTAGCATAGTTTTGAGCATATATCTGAAAATTAAATTTGACTTAAACTCTCATAAATCTTAAATCATTTGGAGCAAAATCATTTTGGACTTAAGTTTCGTCTCTTTTTAAAGAAGACACTTGGCAGATAATTGCTAAAGTGAGAGTTTGAAAAAGTGCACTTTAAAAAAAAGTTCTAGAGTTTTACATTTATCGTTATGAAAAATGCACAAAAATACTTTTTTTCAATGTTTACATGAAATTTAATTTTACTATAAAACTGTGATAAAACTGCCAATTCGATCGTAATGTCTCAAAAAATAGCTTTCAGAAAGTTTTTTTTTTTTTTGTGCCTTTTGTTTTTGGACTTTTGATTTGAACTGTTTTCTCCATTCCCATTGTTTCTGTGTTCGTAGGAATATGTTCAGTTCCTGTTTCCCTTATGGTCTTTCCAGCCTTGTTTATTGCCATAGCTACCCTTGTTTGAGTCACAGTTACCCTCATTAGTTCCCATAACAACCAATCACCAGCACCTGTCCCTAGTCAGCACTCTTGTTAAATACTTGTTAAATCTTGTGTATAAATACACATATTGTTTCCCATATTCTTTGAATAGTGTTGCCAACTCATGGTAGTATTGGGTGCAGTTGCTGCCGCTTTCTGTTCTCTCATGTCTGGATTTACTTCATCTTGTTTCAATAAATGCAAATTCTATATATCTATGTTTTTGTGTGTGTGTTCACATGTGACCAAACCTTTACCAAGTTTCATACCATTTAAAATATAAAAAAAATAATTTAAAAAAATCAGTCAAAGAGCACAAGAGGGTTCAAAAATGTATAATGAAATCATTTAAGGGTTAAATGTGTATGACATTTAAAAACATTGAAAAATGCAGGGTATTTTTTAGATTAATACATCATAACTCCACAGAAAAAGATAAATGGATCCAAAAGTACCTCTGGAGCCACAAAGTTTGCAGTGTAGCACGGTGTCATGAGCAGACCATTTTCAGCCCTCAACTGTTTGGCAAAGCCAAAATCACAGATTCTGATGGACTCTGGGTCGCCCGTTTCGTCCACATACAGGATGTTACTGGGCTTCAAGTCTCGATGCACAACCTGAACACAGAAGTAGAAACAATGATGCAATAAATGCTACAATGTGACTTATAAGTGAACAAAATGTGGGTAAAATGTGCTGGTCTGAAAACAAAGTGTGTTCAGGCGCATTGTTGGTGCGTTGCTATTTATAGGCAACTGAAATAAACTGCGCCACTGACCAACTGAAACCTGCTCTAAGTCAATGGCGCAATATTTTTTTTGTTAGTTAAAGGGCGCATTAGTAATATGAGCTGGTCCACAACGCGCGTACACTCTGCTTATTACACACAAAAGGGACGCACAGAAGCACACAAACATGCCAAATATTAATATTAAACATAAAAGGATTATAATGTAAAAGATTTTTATTGTGTGTATCCACAAGTTTGCGAGGGGCGCTCCTGTAAAAAATAAAGTGGTTGAAACTTCCGGTGAGGCGGCGGAAGTAGCATTCCAATGGCATTTTGTGTGTTAGTTAGCGAAGAGGCTAGCTGTTTTTCTGAGAATTATTTTACTATTTAAAGACGCAAATCTTTATGAGAGATGGTGTTACGGAGTTCATGGACAACATGTGCTGTTCGCGGTTGTATGTATAACCGGACTAAACTAGTTCAGTGGCTTAAACGTGATTGTTTTGAACATAAGCTGAAAACGAAATCAGAGTGATCCTGCCAGAGCCCGTCTCTGATCCTGCCAACAACTGTAGTTTCCATCACCTCCCAAAAGACAACGAATCTTCCTGTGTACATTTGTTTAAATTCTTAATATTCTATAAACTCTATCAGCATGTGATTGGCTGTTCTCTACTGATGTTACACCTAAACTCAGGATCAAAGCCTGTGTTGACAGAATACCAAATGTGCCAGTTAATGTATTCAAGCAGCACATTCATTTATAATTTTAAATAAACTCCAAAGCACAATGACTTAGTGTGTATTTTTTATTTTAATTGTTTCTCAGTTTGCACAACTGTCTGTCACCATGCCTTGATGAGTATTGATTATTAATAATGTTATTATAATACTCCTGCGGAGGGTAAAGGTACTGTTATTTCACCCTTTTGAATTTCGTTGAGGTTATGTTCCCACATCGTTAGCTAGTTTGGATCGCTATAACTTGAATGACTGTCAACTGTTGAATGAACGAGTGTCAAGCATGTCAAATCGCGCTTTGTTTACTTCCAACCGGAAGTCGCGCCCACTTTTGACGCAAGGCCTCATGGGGCGTAGGAAACTTGTGGATAAAGGGTGGAATCTGGTTTGTCTCGTAGATGCTCTGCTCGCGCTTTCCTCGCGCACAATTCCTCTCTGGAGAAGAGTTTAGTCTTTCCACCAATTCCACCGTGTAAATTGCGATTCCGCCATGGTACGAGCGCAACTGACTTTTAAAGGGAATGGGAGATGAGATTCTGATTGGTTTATTGCATGCTACGCCCAAAACACACCCATTACTCATTAAGAGAATAGGGACAACCCTTTTAGACCGGCGCACCGACCATTTTTCCTGTAGTTAAAGTGGATTCGTACACGCCCTAAGTGCACTTGCGCTGTACGCTTTAGACTATACGCTTACTCCGCCTTCACACTGGCAGTTGAAATCCTCCCCAAAACGACCGTAAGTCATTCATTTCCTATGGAGATTCGCAGACCGCATGCGAATGTGTCCGAAACGGGTCTGACCGAGTGCGGTGCGAAGAAAATCGTGTCCGTTGGTCATCCGGATGCGTTCAAAAAATTAAACTTTTGCGAAAAGCTACAGACGGTTCCTATCCGACAATTCCAGCGGAAGTTGAGCGTTGCTATGGTACTACTGATAAAAAAACCTGAATTCATAACGTTTAATAAAATAAATAATGATTTTATAACGATAAGTTGTCATGTCATTTTTTTATTTTCTTGACTTTCTAACATTATTAGGGCAGTTAAAGGGGTAGTTCACCCAAAAATGAAAATTAAGTCATTAATTACTCACCCCCATGCTGTACCAACCCCGTAAGACCTTCGTTCGTCTTCGGAACACAAATGAAGATATTTTGGATTAAATTTGAGAGCTGTATAACTACCACATTGGCTGCCTAAGGGACTGCCTCTTGACGGCCCAGAAAGTCAATGAAGAAAATGTTTAAATTCGCATGCGCGAGAATTGCGATCTGAAGTAGTTGAAAAAGATATCAATTCTCGCCCATGCGTCGTGGAAATCTAAGGAAGTCTCGTTTCTGGCCTACAAGGAAGAAAAGAAATAGTCAAATAAATTCGTTATTTTTGTTTGTTTTTTCGCACAAAAAGTATTCGCGTCGCTTGATAAACATATAGTTGAGCCACGGTAGTCACTTGGGATATTTAAACATTTTCTTCATTGACTTTCTGGGCCGTCAAGAGGCAGTCCCTTAGGCAGCCAATGTGGTAGTTATACAGCTCTCAAATTTAATCAAAAATATCTTCATTTGTGTTCCGAAGACGAACGAAGGTCTTACGGGGTTGGTACAGCATGGGGGTGAGTAATTAATGACTTAATTTTCATTTTTGGGTGAACTAACCCTTTAATACAATTAAATTGTAGGCAGACATTGAACTATTGACCACCGTATCACATTTTTTAGTCGACCTGACCTCAGCAACTTTCCTCGCGCAGCAGCCTTCATATTAATATCTCTATACCCCTCATTAGAGAGATCATACAGAACTGACAGAATAAACCTTTCTAATCTCTCCGCCATTTTTATTCTACCCGCGTCCGACACTTTTCACTGTGTAGTCTGACGTCCGTTGGGAACGTATTGCGTATCACGGAGCTGATTTCAACTGCCAGTGTGAAGGCGGCGTTAGATCCTTAAAATAGGGCACTAAGTGCCCCCTCTGTGACCACATGCAAACTGACCCCCTGTGAATGCAGATACTCCACAGTCTTGGTGATGGTGCAGAGTACGGCTGAGGTCTCCCGCTCTGAGAAGCACTTCTGCTGCAGGATTCGGTCCAGCAGCTCTCCTCCTCTCATCAGCTCCATCACCAGATACACAAACTTGCCGTCATCATAGACCTGCAGCACACAGCACAACACACTCACTCTCTCCATCACAGTGAACTGATGCAGCTCTCACTCACAGACATGAGCTTATCTAACCACAAAAGATCTGGTGACATTTGTTCAATGGTAATGCAGGTTAACTATGTTAATTAACTATGTCAAATTATGTTAATGGACTGAAGTGTTTTGTAAAATTCGAAATTCCTTTCCGTTCAAGAATTTAAAATTGATTAGGCGACTTTGCACAGGATGTTGACTAAGAGAATTACAGGAATTACAGAAAGAGGAATCTGAAAAGTAATTTAAAGAATTTCAACACACAACAGAATCTTTTCATTAGTCCATTAGCTAATTTGGACTACTTATGTCTATTTATTTCCTGATATGAAGAATAACATTTTTTTTTTTACCCAACTGTTTTGACATTTCTCTAAACTAAAGGTTCTCTCACAATTTTTAGACCTAACTTTATGAAAATGTATATGTGGTAGGCTAACACTTTAGTTTAAAGGGGACATATCATGCAAAATCCACTTTTTTAGCCCTTAAATGCATTTTGTTGTATATTTGGAGTGTTTATAAGTACAGAAAAGATGAAATTATTCTCTTCAGGTGCTTCGTTTATATCTTTATATTCTGTTTTGTTCATATTTTTCAACCTGTTCAGATTTTTCTGTTCTCTATGACGTTTTTTGAGCAAGTGCGTCACCGTATTTGCAGCCGAACTGCGAAATAAGGACATTAGCCGCGTTTCCACTGCCGGGCCAGGGCCGGGCCGTGCTAGTGCGTGCCAGGGCCAGTCGCGTTTCCACTGTCACTTCCGGGGCTTGATCGGGGCTTCCTCAGGGCCAACGGCCAGGATTTCTGGCCCGTCGAATACCTTGGGCCAGAGGGGGCCAGCTCGGGCTAGAGGCGTGCTCAAGGTAAAAGGCGGAGTTTATCGGTGTTATGGAACGTTATGATCTGAAGCAAGATGCACATAGGGGTGTCCATGTTTAACCGATTAACCGTTTAAAATTGCATAACATTTTAATTTGAACTGTAGGCCTATGCCAAATGCTGCGCAAAAATATATAGGCTATATATAGGCTACATATCGACGAATTTTCAGATATTTGTTTGATTTTTTGCCCCTTAAACATTTAAAATATTTGACAAATGAATATGAAAAAAATATATATTTTACTGGTTTTCTGAGGCCAAATTAGAACCTGGAAATGATATGATATGAATGATATGAATGATTTTCCCTGCAGTGCTGAATGAGAAGAGCCGTAACCACAGCCTACAGAAAGGGGATTATAGGTGATTTATAGGCTATAATAAATGTGTCTGATAATAAAATAATATAAAATAACGAGGCATTAATTGTTTATTAATAAACTATTGTTTTCTAAATGATTTTCGGCTAAAAACATCTGCATCTCCGGATGCACAGAGAGAAATTAATTAGCTACATAATTACATAGTCAGAAAGATATTGGCTTTCGATTCGAATTTGTTCGTTTTAAATTGGACATTTAAAGCTTTAATCTACAAGACTAAAGCTTTAAATGTCCAATTTAAAACGAACAAATTCGAATGCGGTGGCTGTTTCAGGTCTTGCGCTTCAGTTCACGGAGATCACCCAGACAGCAAACTGACATTGAATCAACGTTGAAACGACGTCTCTCATGACATTGAAACAACGTTGATTTTGCTCATCGAATTTGAACCAACGTCAGACGCGGCATTCTTCAAAGCTAAATGAAATCGAAAATTGGTTTGCTTTCATAACGTTGAAACAACGCGTTGATTTCAAGTTGATTTTCCGTTAGTTTTGAAAGAATGACGCGTCTGACGTTGGTTCAACGTTAATTCGATGAGCATAACAATGTCAGATCAACGTTGTTTCGATGTCATGTTTCTACGTTGATTCAATGTCAGTTTGCTATCTGGGCATGAAGCGCGCCTTGATTAATTGTTAAAGCACAACGTTTTCTTGTTATTGTGAGTTTACGCAAATAAATGTATTTGCGAATAATGTATTATTATTTTCTGTATGACCAGAAATGAAAGAGTATTTTAAGTTGTTTCCACTGAAAGAAATGCAATGAAACTGCAAGTGTTCACATGGGCGTCTCGCAGCCATCAGTGCATGCTCCACACACACTGGATATGCGCTGATATGCGTCAAAAATATTGTGTTTATTTGTGCTCTGTTCCTTTTTTGGATAAAGGCGTCTTCTACATATGCAGCCTAATAAAATGTTACAATAATGATGATGATGGTTATTATTATTATTATTATTTGCAGACACGGAGTTTTTTGTGAAATGGACGTTTTGCTTATTTTCAATTGGCAATTTCAGTTTGAAGGGTGATGGAAATGCGGCTTTAACTGCTCCGTACTTGCTGCGTTTTATTTCTATAAATTAATTTCGTTTCAAATGGGGTCCAATCAGTTATTAAAGGTGTTAAAAAATTAACTCTGTATCTCGAGGTTGCGGCGTTTGTTATTTGTTAACAGGCGGCGTTTGTTAACAGGCTGCGGCGGTTCCGCAGCCTGTTATATCGCGCAAAAAATCGCTGCTTGAAATGGAGAATCGCCTGTACTGGTCTCGTGACACTATTGCAGCCACTACGGCAGGTGAGTTAATACACATGCTATCTTCCTAATTAAAAAAATAAATTAATTCATAATACCTGCTGAAATGGGTTGGGTTTTATGACGTTTGATCCAGAAAGGCGTGTTAGGGGTGGGGTCTGGGGCAGAGCTGTGGGGCTACTGGCCCGGCAGTGGAAACGCAAGCCCGGTGCTTGAGGCCCGAGGCCACTAGCTCGGCTCGGCTCGCTGTTAGCTCTGGCCCAGCCCTAGCCCGGCAGTGGAAACGCGGCTACTGACTACCGGTCCAACACTTCGAGCAATCCGCCCTTATTATTTCTCGCTCCGATTTTGTAGTCCGAGCTCAATGATGCAGAAGTTACGAGAGGGCAAGTCAAAATGTTCGGTTTTTGGATGTACGTTAGTGACCTGAAGCACTTCAAGGATTCCCACTTCATCAACCTCCGCCAGTATAAAGAAGGGTTTGCCGATTGACTTCGTCTGAATGAGAGGTAAATTCCTTCTATCTTTGGAGACGACGAACAGAGCATTTCGAAAAGCTGTAAATATCGTTAATAAAAATAAAGTACTTTACTTTCTTAAAACACATGGTGGTCATGGTTTAGCAGTACCTTTGTCTTTTCATCAATGGTCATTTAGCTGCGTTGTTTTCTGATGCTTTTCTAAACGTATCATATTGTCAATACAGATTTGTGGTAAGATTAGACCGTAGTCATTTATCTTGTCAGTGTGCTTGTTTTAACAAGAGAAATAGTCGACTTTCACTGGTTGTTCTGCAGGGTCGTCGTCGTCTTTATCAACTCGCTCGCTCTGGCTCGAATATGTAAGGCTTGATGGACAAGTCTTCTGTTGTTGACTTCTTATTAAAGTGTGAATAAAAATGTTCTTTGAAGGTATCGTATATAATCGTATATCTCTAATCAAACTACAAGAATGGCCGAACGTGGGGAGTTGAACTGACCGTGAACTCATCGACCTGGAGAGCGGGCGGGGTATGACGCATCTCCTTTTTATTTAAAGGGGACGCATTGAAACGGGTCGCTCAAAGACGCACATCAGAAAAGGGGTAGAAAAGGGGCCTGTGGAGCTATAATAATGAGGAATTCAGACCCAAGCATTGCAGTTATGTTTTATATAGACCACAACGGTATGATTTATATGTAAAAATTAATGATTTAAAAGCATGATATGTACCCTTTAAGGACCAATTCTCAATATAGTTGGTTATTACTAGCATGGATATTACTAGGACATTGGCTCTTTATTAGTACTTATAAATCACATATTAATGGCTTATTCTGCATGGCAATATTCAACATCCTTTAATCCTGTCCAATACCTCAACTTAACAACTACCTTACAAACTATTCATAAGCAGTAATTTGGAGTTTATTGAGGCAAAAGTCGTAGTTAATAGTGAGAATTGGACCCTGATCTAAAGTGTGACTGAATATTGATATCAAAATTGGAATCTATAGATGGCACATGATGTCACAGTAGGCGGGGTCACTGCGTTTACACCCACTGAGAGGCAGAAAGACAGATTAGAAGCTTTGCTGATTAGCTTGAATGCAGTAAAATCACACAAAAACACATCTACAATAGGAAAGAGCTGTACTGTACAATTGACTGTACAAATAGATTCAAGTGATCGGAGCTATATTTTTACAGACTGCAACAGAAAAGAGAAGTCAATGGATCAGCAAATGCAATTTGCAGAAACAACTGACCTCCAGGAAGTGAAACGTGAATTTGCAGTTACCGTTTTGTGTCAGATATGTTGAATTTTGTGGTAAAATCATAACCAAGGTTATATAATGTATTGACAACTCATCAATTCAATATTTGCCATTGTGTTCTACAAACAGGGATGGTTAGATAGATGAATAAAAATAGGAGCTAAAAAGATAGATAAAAAGATAGGAGCATAACAAACTTTTAAAATGGATTCAGTTTACTCTGTATTGTCTGCCTGACAATAACAGCGGACAGTTATCCAGATAACTTTAAAACCAGAGTATTCATTGATGTTCTCGTCACTTTAATTTCACCAACAGATCCTGTCTTGAAGTGCGAACAAGTGTCAAGTCAAACTTAATCGTATAATGCTTCACACAATACACATCGTTTCCAAGAAGCTTTAAAGAAAGTCATAGCAGGCTGAACAATATGATGATCCACTGCCAAAAAAAGAGTGTGAAAATGATTCTTCATGCTCCCTCCCAACCATTCTTTCACAATTTGAGCCTGATGAATCTTGACAGTGTCATACTGGAATATGGCCATGATGAGTCTTCGTACATGGTTGGTTAAGAAATGAAAAGCTACACACTCCATCAATTAGGGTTAGAAGAACTGTTGCCAAACATAACTACTAGAAACATAACTGCAATAATGATCCAGTCGTTGACTCCTAAGCATTTTCCTATTTTATTTTTGGCCGGGCAGTGTATATAACAATGAAATAAGTATTCATTCTGATTTAGATCTGCCTATTGTATTTCAAGTGTTGTCTAACAGATAAAGCGTTCACAGTTTATGTATTTCCCCTGGTGTCAAAATTAGGTGTCAGGAAACCCGATTCATGGCCACATGTCAATGTCCATGGACCACTAGTTCTTTGGTAAGTTGTTTCAAGGATCACTGCCAAGTCCAAATGCCTTTCATTTCAGCAGATACACGTTTTTGCAGTTTCCCCTATTAAAGCCAGTCATGCTGCAGGATGTTCTGCAACTTATTCGCTTAGAGGACGTGACATCAATGCATACCCTTTCAATTGACTATATAAAATAAATTAACCATTCTTCTATTTGGTCCATTTTTTTTAATTTAAAAGTTAATTTAATAAACATAAAAGAAATGTATTATTGAAAACTACATTTTATGAAACTGCAATCCTCTATTAACTTTTTCATTATAAAATCATAAATCTTCTTTAGATCTACAATTCAACATAAACCAAAGACAGCAAAGTTAAAAAGTGTTAAAGTCCATGAGTACAGTTATAGAAACGCTAAATTTTAATTACAAAACTGTGGGCAGAGAATAAATGATCAAAAACAGTCGCCTACTAGTTGGGGGTCTCTATAAAACTAAAGTAGCATTTCTTTCTTTTTTTTTTCAAATTGTGACTCACATCTTTCAGAGTAATGATGTTTGGGTGCTGGCCGTATCGCAGAAGAATCTCAATCTCTTCAGACGGGTCCTTCTTGGCTCTGTCAATAATCTGAAATGAAGTGGACTTGTCAAAGCGGTGTCTGATAAAGCTTCGACTGACACTGAATGATGCTGTCCTATTTGATAATTCATCAAGAGGCTCTTATGAAACAGCCTCTGCTGTTCACTAAATAATACTCTGCATTGGGTGTTTTGTCAATCAAAGAGTATTTAAAGGGATGGTTCACTTTGAAATTAATTTCTGGTATGTTTTAGCTTACCTCAAGGGCATCCAAGATGTATGTGTCTATGTTTTCCGCAGTTTGAATTTTGATATTTTAAGGTCAAACCGTTCGTGTCATATTATGCAGGTCTATGGTCACCACCTCAAAGAGCATGCACAGAGGAGTCCAAATTAAACATGATTTAATGATTCGTAATTGTAAGTACACATTGATGGCCTAAGACACGAAACGAGCGGTTTGTGTGAGAAAACGTACAGTATTTATATCGTTTTTACCTCTTGTAACCACAGCTACGTCCAAGTGATCTGAGGGCGTGGGCACTTTGTGGCTGTGGTTACAAGAGGTAAAAACGATATAAATAATGTTTCGTTTTCTCCCACAAAACGCTTTTTTCGTGTCTTAGGCCATCAATGAGTACTTGCATTTAAGAGTCATTAACTCATGTTTAATTTGGACTTGTCTGTGCATGCTCTTTGACGTGGTGACCATAGACCTGCATTATATGACTGAGAGACAAGAACGGTTTGACCTAAAAATATCAAAATTGAAACCACTGTGGAAACAAAGACACCTACACCTTGGATGCCCGTGAGGTAAGCTAAAACATACTAGAAATAATTTCAAAGCGAACTATCCCTTTAATGGACCCCAGTGCTTTTAAAAAAATAAGATTTCTTACTTACTTTAACAGCATACTCCACACTGGTGATTCTGTGAACACAACGTTTGCAGACCGAATACGCTCCGATGCCGATATCCTCCTTCAACTCATAGCCGTCAGTGAAATGAATGTTGTTGCCATGAAGTTGCTGCATTATAAAACAACAATGCACATGAAAATAATGATTATTTAATTGATATTAACAGTGATGAAATGACAACATTACATTAATGTTCCACTAGCTTTTGACAACCAGAATGTGTCTTCATTTTGAACGGTGTTAGATTGGATTGCAATCTAATCCAGTGGCATTCTTACATTCATACAAAGTGTGGCTTCAGTGTCCACTGTGGATGACGATTTAACCCCAAGCAACTTATAATAAGCACACAATAGCCCCAAGCACACAATAACTGTCCTCCAGGAGGAGTAACCTGTTATGTCTCGCTCAAGGGCACAATGATGACAATTGATATCTCCTTTGAAGGGAGCATACAACTTTTCACTCACCAGCCTACATCTTTAACAGCACCCCTTCCCCATATATCTGAAACTGACTTAACATTTCACCATCTGTTTTTCTGCAACACATAACACCTCTTATTTTTCAAAAGAGTTTGCATTTGTATTTTTAGAAAATGCAAATATACAGACATTCATGTATAATTTGAAAATTTACCATTGACTTAGTTACAATGTTCAATTACATCACTGTAACATTTACATACTAAACTGAGGTTAGCCTCTTCTTTTTTTAATGAATGATCAAAACTATGGCCTTTCCCACCACTGAGTTCCCAGAGATCCGGATCCAGTGTATAATAAAAGTTGAAATAATTGCCTACAAATAACTGTACAAAGATAAAATGCCAAGACTTTCTCATCTGAGCTGATCAGCAGTCTAAAAGCACTCATAAGTGACTGAAACGCCAAATAAATCATGACCAACAGTAATATCCAGAGATGAAACAACTCACTTAGAGCTGTTTTCAGCATATTAGGCATAATACACTTTCTTGATAGCCTTTCAGTAAATTCACTTACGATCCTCAAACCTACATAGAACCAGGTTAAAAGTGGCTTAAAGGTGCTATATGTAACTTTTCTTCTAAAATGAATACTTGTTTATTGCCTGTGTGTGAAGGGGTTGTAATCACACATTCCAATGATGCATTTGTCAGGTTTTGCTATTACCTCTGAAGGATAGTATTCCTTGCCTGATTTCGTCATACTCATATTCTAGTGAGAATATTATTGCATTATATTGCACCCCATAAACAGAATCATGCAAAGAAAAAAAGCAGTAAACCCCCCCTTTAAACAACAAGTCTAGGCTACTAGTTTACTGTGCCGAGCAGTGCGAGTGAGGGCCGCGGGAGAACAGCGCGAGGCCGGTGGCGTGATTACCGATGAGAGACACCTGTGAGACGCACCGGTCTCGTATCTCTCACGGAGGAGCGGGAATTTTCTTAGCAATGTTAAAATGCACATGAACCGATCACTTGTTTAGCATTCATGTAAACACTGCATTCAGATTCACCAATCAGAATGAATTCGGTTATTTTGAAACAAAAGTTGTGCATGTAAACAATGAATCTCGACTGCAGAAAGCAAAAGCTGAATCCCGGACATCGACAGCCGGACATGTCTTGGAAAAAGAGCATGGTAACTCTTACTACTCAGCTTTCTCCACAGAACAAGAGCCTGCTAGCTTAGCATCCAAAAAAAGATGGCTGACACTATGTGTTCATTCTCTGAGTGAGACCCTCTATGGGCGGGTTGAGAACATGCGGAACAGCCCCTACTACTGACTGTAGTCTTTACCTTCTGGCCAAAAAAATTTCAGACAAAAAAATACAGAAATATCTCGTCTCAGGGGGATATGAGGGTGGAAAGCATGGTAATTCGAAAATACTACAGGTTTTCGACTAATACAAAGCTTAATGCTAAATCCTGAAGTATCCATTTAAAGTGTTTTTAGGACAGTCATTTAGTCTATTAAAATATGTTTGCTATAATATACAGTAATGTATACTTGCTAACTATTTTTTATTTCTTCCTTTAATTTTCTTTTTAACTTTTGAGCAATTTTTTAAAAACTTTTTTGTGAACTTTTTTCCCCCACTAACAACAACAACAACAACAACAAACTCTATTGGTATAGGGGAGAGCGGGGCACAACCTAACGCTTTTTGGTTTTGGCTCAATTAATTAAAAAAATAATTACAGGTAGGTTAGATTAATACTTTTTTTACACAAGCAACATACACATCTCTGCTACAAATGAACACTTAAAAGTTTTTTTTTTTTCTAGGACCTACCATTTTCGTACAGTTGCACTGAAAGTGACAGAAGTGCAAATGTTACAACTTACCCCATATGCGGGGTTAATTGTAACAGACAGAGGGGTTAGTTAACACTTGTGTGTAACACACATAATTCAGGACTATTTTATTTGTATAGTTTGATATTGTTTGTGCATCTGTAGACAGATATCCATACATATCCCTCATCCAATCATCCTTCTATTATGGATCAATACCATGGATAGAGACATCGAAAAGGGCTGCATAGTTTTGCGATAAATAATAATAAATAAAATTATAAATATTGTAATTGCAATTAAATTAGATTTGTGTGTGGCAGCTGCATGATGTACAATTATTTTTATTATTATTATTAATAATAACAGTAATGATAATACAAATGAGCTTAAAATAAAAAATTTTATAGCCATATTTTTAATAAATATAAAAGTTATCATTCATAGTACACAAAATTTTAAACATTTTAAATCCCAACATTGTTTGTGAAAGTCTAACAAAGTTAAATGTATACTCAAACCTGAAAAGTTGTGTGGCTCCGTTTTCATTTGATTATCATTGTACACTTGGCGGCTTGTTTGTAACACTGTGCTACAACTAACCCCGCTGTGTTTTACATTTTTAAACCTAGCTAACAGTCGCTAGGAATTGCTGACATGTTTCAAAACGGTGCTATGTTTGAGCCAACAAGACAGTGATTAAGGCAATATTAAGTTAGATTTGGAAACGTATACACCCAACTCAGAAACCGAAAAAAACCTATGATGAAAAAAATTACTTTCATGGTGTCAAAACACTCTTTGTCCAGTATCTTCACGAAATATAATCAAAACTTTACGCAAATTCGCGGGAGATTGTCTTCTGGCAGCAAGAAAAAAAGAGCGGAAAGACAGCCTGCTTGATCCTGACGAATTATGTAAACGGTCCGTGTTACATTTAACCCCGCGTTAGGTTGTGCCCCGCGATCCCCTATGTTTTTTTTTAAAGCTCTTGTTATCCAAAACATGCCCTCTAGACTTCTTAAAATGGACATATTTCTCAGGGGAATCCATTTTTTTGGAGCACACTTTTTTGAGCAATTTTTCCCTAAAACTTTAACATCATTATTTTGGTGCCTTGCAAGCACTGCTTTTTCCTTCAGGAAATACACATCCCGTCTTCAATGCTTTGTAACAGTGCGTGGAGATAAAAGTGAAAAGTGAAACTGACATATATACGTCAAATATGCAAATAATCGACAGCATGTTCAGGTGAATGAAACACCTCCTCAAAACAACAGCAATTCACAGCACAAGTATAGAAATCTTCCACAAATAGCTGCACTCATGCATCTTCATGAGCCCAAAGTTAATATATGCTCGGCAGATGACACATCAGATCAGATAGACGGCACCGCAGAACAGACATCTGCTCAAGTGCCATTGTGTCCCCACCAATCAATACATCTTCTTCCGGTCACTGCCACGTCAGCTCACACACTTCAATAAAGCAGCTCTTCAGGTATGAACCATCTGGCAGAATTAGTTCAGATTATGTAACATGGGTCTCCTTTTTTCTTTCTCTTTCTTCTCATTTTTGTGCTGTGCTACACAACAGTAGTTCCCTGAGGATAATATCTGAATCAACTGCATGCGCACAGGAAGACCAACGTTAAACGAATACAGAACACAACTTTGGCTAGGCTGACTGCAATATTTCCTGAATGTTAGTGACCAGCCACCAATATAGCACAGCAAGCTTGAGTGAAATATTGATTGGTTCTCATCACTTACATGTATAATCATGACCAAAGAAGCACAAACTGTGCATTTTCTGAAAGAATGGAAGTGATTTTTGCCAGTGCAAAACTGTTGCCAGTGTTGTGGGTGGTTACTAAGGTATTTTGAGATACTCAGTTGCTAAGGTATTCTGTTTTTTGCATGTCGCACTGCAGTTGCTGCAGTTTTTGAGTCTAACATGTTGCTACAGTTGATAAATAAATATACTAAAATGTATTTGAAATGCATTTATTTTATGCTAAGTATACTACAATTGCATTTACATGTTTATTTGTGTATTATAAATACTCTGCAGTTGTACTTTTGGTATACTTAAAGTCTGCTATATTGAAACAACTAATTTTGAACTTATCTGGAAATAGTGCTGAGGTCAAACTAAAGATATAATTGATATAAAGTTATATTGGATTGTGCTAAAGAGGAACTATTGCAAGTATACTTTAGGTGCAATTTAAATGTCTTGCATTTAAAGACTGATATTATGCAAATATAATACTATGCTTAAAGGAGAACTCCGGCGAACAATGAACCTTTGGTCTAATAAAACGTCGGTACCTAGTCAACCATTCTCTGAGTTTTGTTTTCATGATAATCGAATGTAAAGAGTTTTATCTCTAAAAACTGTTTAGCGTATAATGCTAGTAATGGGGGCATTGAGTAAGTAAAAAGAAATCGCTAGTTTATACCACTAACAAGGCTCAAAATATCCCCACACTAACACAGTAACATAATGAGGCTCCATACATGCAAAACGAAGCATTGAGAACTTTGTAAGTGTACAGACAGTTTAATAAGAAGATACTTTATGAAGACAGTTCACTTCTCGTATACAGACAGGAGCCATCTTAAAAAATAGTCTCGATAAGTCGACCCCCGAACGCCATAAATACAGTTCAGAAGTTCGTTGAACTTCATAGAGTTCAGATCACTCAGCACGACGTTCGTGGTTTGACTTATCGAGACTATTTTTTAAGATGGCTCCTGTCTGTATACATGAAGTCAACTGTCTTCATAAAATATCTTCTTATTAAACTGTCTGTACACTT